CTGCACAAGTGTCACAAGTGCCATGGGACATCAATAGTAGGAACAAAACAAATCTCTGACAGTGAATGCTGACATATATTCTTATCTTTTATTGACTATTTGGACAAGTCCAAACTAAATCTGGCCAGACTTCCTAGTCTTCTGGAAGGAGGCAACATTAACTCAGGAAAACAGCAGAGCTGAGTTCAAGTGCTTCACTAGGAGACTTCAGAACTAGAGAATATTGTCTGGAAGGGCCCTCAGAGATAACCTTGGCCACCCTTCTCACTTTAGAGATGAGGAAACTGAGACTCATAGAGGAGGTTAAGCATAGTGGATCGAGCACTGGGCTAAGTATTCCAAAAGTCAGGCTTTAAGTCCTGCTTCCCAGCTTACTAGATGTTCAGCTTTGAGAAAGTCACTTAACCTCTGTCAGTCTCAGCTTCTTCATCTATGAGATGAGGATAAGTCAAATCAACAAGCATTATTGAGTGCTTACTATGTGCCGGGCACTGTGCTAAGTGCTGAGTTTACAAAGAAAAGCAACAATGTGGCTTCCATTCACATTCTAATTGTACAACATTGCAAACAACTACATACATACAAGATATACATACAAGAGATAACAGATACACATACACACAGAGTAAACTGGATGTAATCTAAGAAAGAAGGCAGTAACTTGGAGTGAGACCAGGAAAGGCTTCTTACAGAAGGTAAGATTTGAGCTGAATATTCAAGGATAATCATATTTCTACTAACTACCTCACAGAGTTGTTGAGGATCAAATGTATATAAAATGTTTTTTAGACCTATATGGAAGCTAATACTATTGTCCAAGGACACACAAAGGAATAGTAGTAGAGGGAGAACTATAATTGAGATCCAATATTCTTTCGGCTATGGGAAAGCCACTGAACCATCTGAGCTCCATCTTTCCCTTGCTAGCTATTATGATACGATGCTCCTACACAGGAACGTAGCTCTTGTCTGGTCTTGAGGACCATCTCCATCAGTTTGTGCAGCCTACTATACCCAACCCCCCTCTACCTTGGAGCTCCAACAGGGTGACAGGCATAGGGGACAACCTTCCCAGAGTAACACTGGGCTTCTACAACAAACTTGCCAAAAGATACCTCAACACAGTGTCCCATCTGCTAAAAGGAATTATGTATACTGCTTCTCAAATAGGTGTGGAGAGTACATGAGATGTAATAACTGCCCACAGAACACTGAAAATTAATCATGAAAATGTGTCCATAGGTGCTTTTTTTTTTCTTTCCTGAGCCATATGAAATTAATAAAACTCAACATTCATTGGTCAGAGTTACAGAAAAAAACACCTGGTACATTATAGACAGACATAGAACTATGGAAGGAGCCTGAGAGATTATCTAGTCCAAACACCTATTATAGATGAGGAAATTGAGGTCCATAGAGGTGAAGAGATTTGCTTAAGGTTGCACAACTAGCTAGTAGCAAAGTTGCTACAAGGACTTGAGACTCTCAATTCACTCTCCATTGTACTTTCCACTCTAATTTTTTTTCTTTCCTATATAAGGAAGGAAACAAAGGCATTTACTAAACATCTACTATGTGCCAGACATTGTGCTCAACATTTTATAAATATTATCTTATTTGAGCCTCACAACGATCCTGGGAGGTAGGTGCTATTATTATCTCCATTTTACAGTTGAGAAAACTAAGTTAACAGAGGTTAAATTACTTGTTCAGAGTCATATACCTAGTAAGGGTCTGAGGTTAGATTTGAACTCAGGTTCTCCTGACTCCAGGCCCAGTGATCTATCCACTGTACCACCTGGCTGCATTATGGACAGTTGGAGACTCAGGAATCCTCTTGAACTCTTATGAAGTCAAAGGAAGGAGTTGGGTTTGCCTAGAGGGATGAAATCCTAGTCCTTGTGCCTAATAGTATATACCCTTGCCCACTTCCAAGTCTGGATGAGAAAAGTTGGAAAATTTAGATCTGTGCTCAAGCAATTTATTTCCATTACATTCATACAACTCAGTGGCAATAGCTTTTAGCCTATTGAAAGAGAATTTCAGTCACCTGGGAGAGTTCCCTTTATTTATTTACTTATTCATTCATTCATTTGTCAAATACATGTGGTCATAACAGGAAATATCTACCATCCTTAGGCATGATGGAGAAATGTGGAAGACCAGCAAGGAAGGACCTATCCAAGGCTGCATGGAGCAGCAAATTTTCATCAGTGTTGCCTCAGACGCAGGGTGACAAGAAGCTGTTTCTAAATTCATCAGCTTTGTCAAAAGCTTTTGAGCACAATTCCTGTCACCGGGTGTGAGTAGGAGTGGAGTTACCGTGGGTGTTTTAGGCCCTCCAACAATGACATTAAAAGCACCTGCCACATGAGAAGCAAGACATTCTTGATGCTGCTGTTGACAAGTTTTTAGCCTTCCATTCAAGGAAGGAAGGAGCAGGGTTCTCTAAACTTCGGTGGCCAAAAAGAAGGGAATGCAAGAAAATAGAACCACATCAAGGGGCCCCTGTATAATAGATCACAGGGGTTTCACATCAGCTAGAATTTTTGCAATATTTTACCTTCAGACTTCTGTCTAGCAATTGCTCTGTTAAGTTGTCCATTCTAAGTCATTTAATTTTAACAACTTTAAATTTTAAAAAAGGAAAATAACTAAATATTAAAAATTGCAATTGCCTTAAAAGCGAAGAGTATGTGTTTCTATCCAATGCATGAGCTTATAACACAGCACCTTGCATATAGCAAATAATAAATGTTTATTGTGCAGAATGCATGGACCAGAGGTAGGGAACCTGAGGCCTCAAAGCCACATGTGGCCCTCTAGATCCTCAAATGTGGCCTTTTGACTGAATCCAAACTTCACAGAATAAATCCCATTAATAAAAGGATTTGTTCTGTAAAACTTGGACTCAGTCAAAAGGCTGCACCCAAGGACCTAGAAGGCCACAGGTTCCCCACCCCTGAATGGACTATACATTGTATCTTTAATAATACTTTAGAGGGGTGAAAATAACCTCAAACTAATTGTGAAAGGAAGACATCCTACAGAGACAGAAGAAAAATTGAGGAATTCTCTCAAAATGCTGTCCTTCATGAGATCCTATAGATTATAGTGGGCCTACATAGATGTGGGGGTAGGAACTTCAAGGCCAAATTAAATTCTGCCCCATGGAGTTGAAGTTAATCAATCAATCTATAGAATTTACTAAGTGTTTACTAGGTGCTAGACACTGTGCTAAGGGCTGGGTTCAAGTCCTGTCTCTGTTATTTATCATCTTTGTAACTTTGAGCAAGTCATTTCCCTCTTCCGGTCTCAGTTTCTGTATCTGTACAGAGGGATGGACTAGATATTCTATAGGTCTCTTCCAGCTCTTAATCCTCAAACTCACATTGATTTCTTTCTTCTCTATTGGAGCATTTTTCAATCTTTAAAGAGTATGTTTAAGTTCTCAATTCTTTAACAACCATAGTAACAACAACAATGACTGGCATTTATATAGTGTTTTAAAGTTTGCAAAGTACTTTATGCATGTGATCTCATTTGGTTTTCACAATAACCCTGCGATTCCCAGATCTGGAGCTGGAAGGGACCGTTGAGTCCAACCTCCTCATTTTACCGATGAAGAAACTGAGGCTGAGAGAGGTCAGTGGACTTGCCCAAGGTCACACAGTTGGTCTTCCTGACTCCAAGTTCAGCCCCATTCCTGCTACCTCCTAGCTATTCTTGTTCCATCTTCTCTTGTGTTCTTCATTGTTGTTTGATAATAGACTTGTTTCTCCAAGTATATTGTAAGCTTCTGGAGGACAGCAGGGGCCATGTCGTACATGCTTCTGTATCCTCCACATCACCTAATATAGTTCAGACTATAACAGGCATCTGATGTCAGACATCCATCGGTTACCGTAAAATATGGAATTACAGAGTGGCTTTAGCAGACAGAGCAGAACGGCGTGCAAGAACTCTGCAGTGAGAAACCCACAATCAGTCTGCCATGATAGTAGTCCAATACCTGACAGAATTTAATAAAAAGGATAATAATAGTAAGAACTGGCTTTTATATAACACTTTAAACTTGGAAACATGATTATAGACTTTCTCAGCTGATCTTAGTAGTCCTTTGAGGTAGATAATTATTATTAATAATAATTAGTAGATTATTAGTAGTAGGTAATAATATTATTGTGTCCATTGTACAGATGAAAAAACAGAGGCTTTGAGAGATTAAATGACTTGCCAAAATACTAATTATAAGAAGCAAGATTCAAACCCAGATTTTCTTGATTTCAAGTCCAGCACTCAATCAATTTTATTAAATACCTATCATGTGTCAGACGCTGTGTGAACTGGGGGTACAAAGACAACAATGAGACATACTCTGACTTAAAAGAAACTTACATTTGACCAAGAGAACGTGTACAAATATATACAAAGTCAATGTCTCCCATTAGACTGTGCTCACATTAGATTATGAGTGCGTCAAGAGGAGGGTACCCTTCTATCCACCTATTTTAGTGCGGTGCCTGGCACATGGTAGAAACTTAATAAATGTTTATTGTTGGTGTTTATTATTTATGATTGACTGACAGATTGATTTAAAGGGGGAAAGCCCTAGCAGCTGGGGAGATCAGGAAATGTACATCAGGAGAAGGTAGAGTATGAGCTGAGCTTAAGCATTACCTCTTTGTGCCTTTCTGAACTTAGACGTGGAAGAAACCTTAGAGATCATTTTGTCCAGAGCCCTCTCTATGGAGGTAACACGCAAGGCCCAGAGAGGTGACATGCAGGAATAAAGGTCTGTTTCACTCTAATAAAACATAGAAGACCCAGACATTTCAATTCAATCAATCAATCAAAAGTAAAACAGGCATGAATAAGTTCTTAATCTTAATATAATATATTATATATTAATATATATTATATACATTATATATTACATTATATATACTTAATATAATCTTGCATATAATCTATATCATATGTAATATAATAATCTTTAATATAATATCTTTAATATAAAGGACCATGGGCGCATTCTGTCCTTGGACACCACACAGGAAATAGCTTAGGATTGGTTAAAGAGAATCAGTCATGCCCCATAAAGCTATGTATAAAAACAACAAGCTAGGTCAGAGCCAGTCAGTTGAGGTGTGGTAGAATCCAATGGTGAAAGATTCCTGGGAAGGAATCATCCTAGGCTAGGGAGGTAAGGAGGGGCAGGAGGAATGCATTTCCCTCCTCTCGTTGACCAGGTGCAACTTTATAAATTATGAAAGGTTGGAAGACTTAGAGATCTCATCAATGAGGGTAGAAGTGTCCACCTAGCAATATTTGCAACATCCCCAGAGTATCAGTGGCTGACAGCAGCACCTACATTAGGGAAAGAAAGACATACTCAGGACAAAATAGACACACCAAGGAAAAGAAAGATTCAAAATGCTGTAAGGGCACCAGCAGAAGCCATATCTAAAAAGAACTTCATGAGGTCTCCATTGAAAGAGAAAAGGCCATCTAGTAATGGGGAGCTGTATTACCCCTTTGCCATGTGGGTTCGCCACATGTGTGCATCACTATTGTTTTACTCTAAGTTTGAGCTCACCCTTACCAGGGACCTGGGGTGTGTAATTTCCCTAGTTTGGAGAATTAATTTCTGTACTAATTGCTCTTGATACACATGCTTGGCAAATACCCTTTCTATAAGCTAGTTAAGTCTGTCTGATAAGTAGTGGGAAGCATATTTTGGGGCGCTTGTGAGTGGCAGTACTAGAAACCAAACTCCCTTAGGGTTATCCCTTGAACCCTGAGCAGTAGTAGACAGCTGCCCCCTGGACACCCTTTATGGCTAATAGTCTTTCTTTAGGCTAACGGAAGTGGGAATTGAGGAATTAGCCCTGGAAGGGATGCTACAAATACACCTTGCCTAAAGTCAAGCAGCTTAGTAGTGGCAAAGCCAGGATTAGGATCCACATCTGCTAGACCCCAATTGAGTGTGATTTCCACTATTTAAACTACATAGCCTTAAATCTGACGCTATGCTTGCCTGTGCAATAACCCGTGACACACTTATGGAAGGGGCAGTGTGAGTGTTGAGGTGCCTGCTATTCCCGGAATGCCTGCCATGGTGGAAATGTGCCCAGCCTGCTCAGTGGAGGTCATCCAACTGATAGCAGATCCAGGAAAAGGTACGAAAAGAGATGTGACTATTTAGCATTATTCCTGCAATGCAGAAAGTTCCTCAGATTTTCTCAGTCACAGGAGGAGGACTTAGGGAGCAGCATGTTTTAGTGGGAAAAGCTGGGGACTCAGAGCCAGCAAGCATGACCTCTATTCCTAAAGATCTGTCACTAACTTAATTGTGTGATCCTAAGCAAGTGACTTCAATTCTCTTGGCTTCAGTTTCCTAATCTGTAAAATGTAGAACTGAATCTTTAGAATCCCTTGTAGAACTGAAAAAGAACCTCACTTTCCTCATCTTTAAAATGAAATAGTTGGGGGGCAGCTAGGTGGTGCAATGGATAGAGTACCGGCCCTGGATTCAGGAGGACCTGAGTTCAAATCCGGCCTCAGATACATAACACTTAACTAGCTGTGTGACCCTGGGCAAGTCACTTAACCCCATTGCCTAGCCAAAAAAAAAAATTTTTTTAAATGAAATAGTTGGACCAGAGGGTCCTTAAAGTTCTCTCCAGTTTTAAGACTATGAACTATCAGCCTATGAGCTTGGGATGTCATTGTGCTTAAAGTCAGCATCTCTCTAGTATGAAGCTTAAACATTTCACTTGTTGCCTCTCATAGGCCTGAAGGAAAGATTCAGATTAATTCCCTTCTTGTTTGTAATGCTCCCTTGACTGTCAGAGTCTTGGGTCACATATAGTAGCAAACAAGTATGAGGTTTGTCTGCTGTGGCTAAGCTTAGAGTGACTCTTTCTAAAATTCTGTCCTAGTTAATCTGGTGCATCCTTTTTGACATCATGGATGGAGGCAAAGAAAGAAAGAGGGACATCATATTAGACCATATAGCACTGTGAATGCCCCCAAATTTCCTCAAATCAGAAACTCTGAGAGGTCTAAAAGTCACAACTATTGTTAACTAAACTCTACCTCTAGTTAGACAACCCGCAGATAACTCTCAGCCTGGCTTTTAAAGCCCCCACCTACGCATTTCTCTCCGTCACATACAATCCATTCCAGGCATGGAATCCCAGTAGGGAACATTCTACACCTCGTTTCCATGCTTTGACACAAGTAGTTATTTTTCCATCCCCGGGATACAATTACTCCTTACTTCTGCCTTTTAGGATATTTGGCTTCCTCCAAAGCCTGCACAAGTACCACGCCCTGCATGAGGCCTTTTCTGATGCCTCCAAATTGTCAGAGCTCTCTCTCTCTTGAAATTTCTGTGTGTGTGTGTGTGTGTGTGTGTGTGTGTGTGTGTGTGTGTGTCTGGCTGTATTTGAAAGGCACCATGGTATGATGGGTCAAGAACCAACTGAGAAGCCAGGAAACTCAAGTCCAAGGCCTGCCTCTGACACGTTACTGGCTGTGTGACCTTGAACAAATCATCTAACCTCTTGGTAGCTCTCTACGACTACAGGTTGCAGAGAATGTGCCAAACTCCATTGGTAGAGAACGTTCTTCACCGGGAGTTCCTTGTACCATTGAGACCACATGTCCAGTACCTAGCCCTCTCCAACCCTGTATCTATCTCTACATATGTTATGTTACCCCAGTAGAATAGAGTTCCTTGAGGGCAGGTACAATTTCATGGACTTTTTTTTTCTTTTTATCCCAAGGGTTTAGCATAATAACACACAGCAGGAATTTAATCAGCGTCTGTTGAATTAAACTAGGGAGGAGCCTCTTGGACATCTCTTTCAAAACTAGAATACCTAGATTGTTTCTATTTCCCTCAGCTGTTGGGAGAGGATCATTTCCATAGGAGAGCCATTTCACCCAGACTGTTCCCCTTTGGTGCTAAAAGACATTCTTCCTGTTGATTGCATGGTTTTTCTTTCCTTTGTGACTTTGACTCATAAATCTAGTACAGAAGCTAATACAAAATTCCTAGGTGAAGCATGGTACAGGCAAGAACCAAAGAAAAATCATGTAGCTGAAACAAACCTGCAAAATGAGATGATGCTGCACAAAGGGGAAAAAAAATGGAAACGCAGACTTAATCCTGTGAGAACTAATAAATACCTCACCATGAGGCATATGGTAGAAGCTTAATAAATATTATTTGATAATGATAAGGCTACTGCAATCATCCACAGTCCATATCGTCTCGTCCCATTTTCCTTGCTGTTCATAATCATAAAGAATAATCACACATGCACACCCGCACACACATATATATTTAGCCTCATTCCAAAGCTCTTGGCAAGCTTCAAATCCTGTATACCAGCCACCTGCAAAGATCATCTCATTGCTCACAGAATCGTAGCCTGCTCTGAAACAGCAGCTGTTAGGCAGGACAAGGCAAAACCAGAGAGGAGCTTGGGGAGGAACGAGAGACAAATGACATAACCAGAGGAAGCAGCAGGTAGACTGAAATGGACCAAATGCAAGAAAACTGCACCAAACACTGAATCAAGGCAAATGTTGATATCCTCACATCTTTACTGAAAGTGCTCAGAGAACCCTATGGGACCCTATGCTCTCAGAATTAGGTACAGATATCTACTGAATCTGTGAAATGTGTTGCAATTTTAATTTTAACGAAAATACAATACTCTAAGCAAGACACTACTTTCTATATCAATTCATTTTTTTTGTAACAAAAGAGCTACCATCCAGCCTAAGCAAGGGAGTATTCATGAGCCATAGGTTCTATTACCTGGATTTAATAAAAACTACAAGTGGGAGTTTTATGATAAAATGTAGTCCAGGGCAGCCCCCAAATAGAATTGTCTCTGGATGTTTCTGTTATCCATTGGGTATCTCTTTACCTTATCATTCAGAAGACAGGAGTTTCTCCTACAAAGTCCATGTTGCTAGAGCCAAAGTCATTCCTTTCTTTCTTGGAAGACAATTTGACGTAATGGAAAGAACACAGAAGTTAGAGTCAGAAGACCAGAGTTTGAATCTTAGCTAGGCCATTTCCTCACTTCAGTGATGTTGGGCAAGTTAATTTGTTTCTCATGAGCCTCAGTTTCCTCATTTGTAAGGTGGGAGATAATGATGCCTGAACTACTTACCTTACAAAGCAGCATTATGTAAATGGGAACTAGATAGTGCAGTGTGCTGGACCTGGAGTCAGGAAGACCCAAGTTCAAATGTGACCTCAAACACATACTTGCTGTGTGGCCCTAAGTAAGTCACTTAACCTCTTTCAGTCTCAGTTTACTCATCTATAAAATGGGGAGGATAATAATAGCAATTGCTTCCCAGTGTTGTTGTGAGGATTAAATGAGATAACATATGTAAGACACTGTCAAAAAAAGGAAATAAAGTTAGTCAAGCATGACCTGTTCTCAATGAAGTCACACTGGATATTTGAAATTACTAATTTCTTTTCTAGATGCTCAACAATCATCTCTTTAATGATCTGTCCTAGAATTTTCCTAGGAATCTAAGTCATTTTGGCTTAGAGGTTGCAGGATCTGTACTCTCTTCTCTCCTCTCCTCTTCTTTCCTCTCCTCTCTACTCCCCTCCCTTCTCCTCTTCCTCCTCCTCCTCACTCTCTGTCTCCCTCTGTCTGTCTCTCTATCTGCTGTCTCTGTCTGTCTGTCTGTCTCTCTCTCTCTCTCTCTTTCTCTCTCAGAATTGGAATAACATTTGCCCTTCTCCATTTTTATAGTGCCTCTTCTGTTTTCCATAATCTTTCAAATATCACTGACAATTGGCTCAGTAATCACACCTGTCAATCCTTTCAGCACTGGAGATGATATAATTCATCTAGGCCATGTGATTTTAATGCCCTTAGAGCAACTAAGTACTCTCTTATCATATTCTTACTTTAGCTTGAGTATCAACTTGCTTATTAGTCATTTTTATTTTACCATTTCCAGTGCAAAGATTACTCTTCCTGGTAAAGAAAACCAAAGATAAAAATTGAGCCATTCTTGCTTTTCTCTGTTGTCAGTATCCCACCCATCCCAAGCAAATGTTCTTTCCTTTCTTCAATCCTTCTTTTTGTACCAAAAGAATCTACCCCCCCACCTATTTGTTGTCCTCTATTCTTCTCACCAGTCTCAGTTCATTCTGCATTTTAGTGCTGCTGACGCTACAAGATTGTACCATGCTCTTACATTCATCTTGTGTTGCCTGGCCTTTTTTCTATCTTCTGTTTAAAACATGCCATTTTACTAGCAAACATAGCACAAATTCTATATGAATCAACTAAGCTACAGGTGCATAGTCTCACTGATTCAGCTGAGCTTGGCAAAGCATCACATAGAATTCAGGCTTTTACCACTGTTTTCAACCCTCCTTCCAAGACCCAAATTATTACTTTCAGCATTCTTGGTCCCAGAGGAAGAAAAATCCTTCTGTCTGGACCTTAGAGTCACCCACCTCAGAAACAGGCCAAAACACCTTTCAACTCAATTCAGTAAGAATTTCTCAAGCACCTACTATGTGCCAGGCAAGCAGATATTGGCAACATGAAGACAAAAATAAAATGAGATTTCCATTCTCCCATTCTAACTCCCCAACATTGACAGGATTCATCCTCCCAGCCACATGTGTCTTTGTTGCCTAGTTGGTTCTCCTCTCTGTCCCAATTAGTATGGTCATCAACATCTCAACAGCTTCATTTCTGTGACCAGACTACATCCCTTCCTAATTCTCACAGAAAGTCTGGGAGAGAGATCTTGCCACAGATGCTCCCACCTCTAAGAGAATAGGAGGTCAAAGCATGGTAGATGAGAAATAGTATTGCAGGGGCAGCTAGGTGGCATGATGGATAGAGCACCAGCCCTGGAGTCAGGAGGACCTGAGTTCAAATCAAGCCTCAGATACTTGATACTTATAAGCTGTGTGACCCTGGGCAAGTCACTTAACCCTGATTGCCTCACAAAAGAAAAAGGGAAAAGAAAAGAAACAGTATTGCATAGTGGTAAGAGTAACAGATATGAAGTCAGAGGACCTGGATTCAAAACCTACCTACTCTCTGTGTGACCTTGGGCAACTATTCTGGGCTAAATACTTTGGGCATCAGTTTCTTCATCTGCATGTAGCCCTTCCCCCATTTGTTGTCTTGGAGACTTGGTAGGATTGGGTAAAACAGAGTGGGATGAGTGTCTGTGGGCCCATATGTGTGTGCCTTACCCAAAGTCCCACCAAATCTCCATGGCAATAGTTCTAGAGGGAGGGGCTATATGTAAATTGAGGAGGTAGCACTAGATGGCCCCTCAGGTCACTTCCAGTTCTATGCTTCTGCGATCAATTATGAGCTTATATTGTGAGTTTATGCTATATGTGCTTTTAGATATTATAGATTATTAGTTAATAACTAGAAAGCTAAGATTGATGACCAGGAGCTTGCTTATTGCCTCTGATAAAATTTATCCCTCTGCACATATGTCCTCTGGTGCTATTGAAAGTTTTTATAGGAATTAAAAGGCAGATTGAAGAGAGATTGACCCCTCATAAATATACAGCTGTGGTTTTCAGTCATCATAGATTTTCCCCTTCTGGTTGGAACGTCATATGGCTCTGTATATGTGGTGCAGTGGGTGCTGTTTAGAAAGACCGAGTAGAAGAGGGAATTGGAGGACTCTTGGTGACAATGAGCAGAATTTTTCCACTGACTCGTCTTGTGCACGCAGAACACTGCAGCACCGGAATACAGAGTACAGTATTCCTCAGCTGAGGAGCAGACAGAAAGTGCAGATGTTTGAAGGATTTGGGCAGTGCCTGTGTGGAATTCAAAAACTCCAAAAAACAATTCAGCTGCATAACTTCCTGTGAGCCTCAGCTCCTGGCTGGTATCCAGTTAGCTTAATCTTAATGACCTAAACCAGTCAAAAAGAAGGTGGTGGCTTTAAGGAAGCACCTAGAAACACACAGAGAAACCCTGGGGTGTACCTAAAACTCTATACATTTCAAAGGAAAATAGTGGGAAGCCAAGAGTGTCTATCAGAAAAGCTAGTTGCTATTGTCCTGGACCATCATTTTAGTTGGTCTTTTAGCTGCACACTCTGCTCAAACACAGCCTGTCCCTAGGAGGAATTTAAAAGGATCTGAATACTTTCACACATATTAGTCAACAGAGGATTCATTTCCCCAGCTTCCTCAGAATGAAGAGAAAGAATTTTTTAAAGAGTGATCCATGCAATCAAGCCCCCTCTCTCACTTTCCTGATTGAGAGTGATGAAGTGGCAAAGGTGTTGGCTTTGGAATCAGGGAACCTGCTGTGTGGTGTTGCACAAAGTCATTCCCTCACATGTAAAAGGAGAGGATGATCTCTGAAGTCCCTCCTACCTCCAGATCTAGCACCCTATGAATGCCTGGCTTTTTCTCCCAAACCAATGAGGTAGGAGCAGCTAGGTAGCGCAGTAGATAGAGCACCAGCCCTAGAGTCAGGAAGACCTGAGTTTAAATCCAGCCTCAGAATCTTACTAGCTATGTGATCCTGGACAAGTCACTTAACCTCAATTGCCTCCAAAAAAAAGTTAAAAATAAAAACCCAAACCAATGAAGAAGTAAGGGTTGTGAAATGCCCTCCCGCTTTAAATCCTAACTTGTCTTCTAGAATTAGAACCTTGCTTTGGTATATCATGATCTTTACTATACTGGACTAATGTAATATAGGGTCCATAGCAGCTCTTAATGGAGAAAATGTAGCATCAGAGGACCATAATTTAGATCTTAAAGGGGCCATGTAGATCATCTAGTCCATTCTTCTCATTTTACACATGAAGGAAACTGAGGCCCAGAGAGTTGAAGTGAATTGCCCAAAGTAACACAGTAGTAAGTGGTAGAGCTAGAATTCAAGTTAGGGTCCAGAGTCCTATTGAGAAAGGAATCTAGAAAACAAAAGTATCCCAGAATTCTAGATTCTCTCAATCAGTAACTGAAAGAAAAAGTGAAAACATCAAGATGGTACAAGGTGCCAAGGCACCACAAAGAATATAATAAGCAAATCAACATGAACCCATAGGCTTGAGAAGTAAAGAATCAGAGGCAAGGGAGAATCCACAAAGAAGGAAGAAGAAGAAACTTTCTGGTTGTTGACATAGTCACAATGAGTCCAATACCATGAAAACACAAAGTTTATTAAACTAGAAGGTGAAAGCTTTGCGCTGTTAATTAATGAACAATGAAACACTTATACCCAAGGCAGCTGATAAATTCTAACTTCTAAATAAAACTGGAAAATTTATTGTCTCAGATGCCTCGCAGGGACACATGAATTTCTAGCAAAGCACTTCATGGCCTCCTCTTAGATGCAAACTTGATTCCAGGTACATCAACTGATGCAATTTTTGGTCACTTGAAACCCTATATAGATTAGCTATTTCTTCTTCATATTTTATGACTTTTCTACATCTTTGGTATAACTGTCCCTTAGTGTTCTAAAGACTTTTCAAGTAATGAAAAATACAATTTCTTGTTTTACCTGAAAAGGCCAGATGCATTCAACGGAACAGCTCAGTCCTTTGAGATTTATTTAAATTTCAGTCCTCAGAAAGCATCATGTATCTACCAAAAAAAAGGAGAATACTTGACTACTACAATAGAGGCCAGTTACTTATTTATGTATTTCATGTAAGGCATTTGAAGCTTATACAGTAAAAAAATATGAAATGACAGAAATAATATATTAGCTGAGGAATAAACATCTTATAGCATAAAGAACAATTAATCAATTCAGAATTATTGCATAAGCTGCCACAAAGCATTATAATATTTGTCCTTCGTTTGTTGATTATTGCAAAGCCTTTGGCTCAGTTCTGAATTCATTGCTTATTCAGGTACTGCAAATATAAAAAATAGACCCAAGTGTGGCTAGAACACTACAGTATTTTATTTCCACAAGAAAAATGATTCTCTACTTAAAATATTCTAACAACATGAAAATGTCAAGAATAAAATGATATAAGAGGTGGCATTTTTCAGAGATGTAGTTTAAATTCATTGCGATTCTGGCTAGCCACAATCCGTTATCATCTCTCTTGAAGAGAACTAAGTGTGGTTTCCCAATTAAAGAGGGTATCAAATAAAAACATTTTATCAATCACTGGTGCATATGAATGACATCAATTTTTATGGTCCCACAAAAACACACACATACACATACATACATTAAACATTTCCTTCATCTTGGGGACTCCCCCAAAGAGACTATAGGTTTCAAA